GACTGAGGTGCCATTGAGCAAGGCACCGAACCCCCAACTGCTCCCCGGGTGCCGCAGCATAAATGGCTGCTCACTGCTCCTGGTGTGTTTGTTCACTGCTGTGTGTGTGCACTTAGGATGGGTTAAATGCAGAGCACTAATTGGCCACACCTCACTCACTCAATGTTGTGATTAGGATTTTAGTGCAGATTAATCTTTGAGAGCTGGTTATGTAGTTTGTTGTAGTATTATTGTAGTCTTAATAGACCGCATTTCAGTCACTATATTATTTATTCCGTTGTCTGACAACAGAAACAGTAAAATATATTAATAAAAACAGTTTTATTGAGAATTTGGCTGCATTTAAATGCAGTACGTGAGCACAGGGAGGCAAGACAATATGACGCACTGACGTCATGAATATGCTAATTAGGGTATGACATCATCTGGCGACATTTAGCGACTTGTCAAGCCCCGTTCACACTAGCAGACTTTTGTCGCTGCATGTCGCCAGGGGCTGGCGATGAGGTTGCTAGTGGGCGTTCTCAATACTGGTTGCCTTGACAGCGAATCAGGTTTCTTGTCGCCAAGTATAAACATTTTGGAGGCAAAAGACTAACTATAATCTAAATCTCCATTAAATCCGTACATACAAACAAAAATGAATGAGAAACAGAGCCTACTTTCTTCCATTGCGTATGTTTATCTACGGCGCTGAGAGGAGAACGATCACATGAGCTCTACCGTCTTCTTTCCTATTGGCTGTCGCTCCCGAAAGTCGCTCTTCATTTGCATAAAGTTGAAGGATTCTGAACTTTGTCGCTCGTGTCGCCGGAAATCGCCAGCACTCAATTGAAATAAATGAGATTGTGTCGCTTTGCTGTTGCGTGTCGCTTGTAGTGTGAACGGGGCTTCAGGCGGGGTTTAGCTACTTTCCATTGAAAGAAGTTGGCAACACTGAGAACGAAACAGACGAGCAGAGCGCTATTATCATCATTTATCAAAAGACACAGCGTTATCGGTTTCAAGGTTTTTCATACATTTTTCTGAAAGCAATGGTTAAGCTTTTACATTTTTAACAGTTTTAAATAATTGTTAAAAGTGCTTAATAAATAAATATATTCATATTTATGTATTGAAAGATAAATACTGAGTAGATATGTTAAACTGAAGTAATACTGATTGCTGATCAAATTTCACACGTTTTTGAAAGATCAAGCCACTATTGATCACAAGTCAATTTTCATAACTTACATCTTTCTTAACTGTACCACAGTACAAAAATAACCAACTAATTCAAAATAAGCTTACATTTCCTTTATTTTCAAAAGCACAAACATAACATTTGAAGATGTTACTATAGGCTACTGTATGCAGTAACGTTAGCCTATATTTAGTTTGTGAAAATGAAAACGTTAAATACAGTTAGAAAATGTTAAAATATAATACAACGATACATTTTGTTGCATTTTATTTTTGTGACATTTCTGTAAAGTCATACTTTTGTTAAAATACTGTTTGCTATTTACAATGCTTACTATTTAGGCTACTGTTTTTCACAGTGTGATGTCTAGTAAACTGTAGCTTATTTAAATCTCTTAGGGTTTGATCATTATTAATTATCCTACAAAACAAGTATTGTGTTGTCCCCCTTAGTGAGATTTCAATTACATTTTTACCACTAAATTAGTAAATGTCCCTGGTTTCCATTTCAGAACTTTGGTCACCTTAGTATATCAACACCTTAACTGAAAACAGTTTAAATACTTTAGCAACTGCATTGCAGCACCCTAGCAACCACTACCACGTTTTGCATGGGAAACGCCACTCAGATTGTCCTCTGAAATTACCCTGTTAAAGATTTTGTTACCCAACAGGAGAAAGCAATTGAACTGATTTATCAATTAGACTTTTTGCACAGTGCATGTATTTGAGAAAACAAATCAAATGGAGGGAACCTGGTGGAATTAATTTGGCTTTATTGATTGTGTTATTGATACGGTTCTGCAGGCAGTCGTGATTTGATAGCACATGTTGATGGCTGCTGTGTTGGTGGGAGCAGGACACAGGTGTCCTCGTCTTGTGCTTCTGCAAATATCTCTCTCCTCCTCCAGGCTGATGCGAGCGGATGGATGATAGCACCGCTGTGGAGACAGTTGAGTGGGTTCGATATCTGCCACATTACTCTTACTCATGCCTAAATTTCAGATCAGTGAGCAGCAAGTACAGGGGTGAATCTAAAGGTTTTATATCCTATGCCGCTCACTTACACACACCAAACTCTGGAGAATTCACAACGGGTGGCCACTCATTTCTCTCAAAGCATAAACAAGTGTATAGGGTCATTTTCTATTCAAAATGACAACAGTATTTTTCTACACATTTACACATTTTCTAAAAGGTTTAAAGCTAAAACCATAATACAACTTTTGTTACTTGAAAAAAAATAAAGAATGTCAACTGCTGCCGATACATCCACAACATGCTGCTGTGAGCATGTAAGAAATATTGCTGCTGCACTTATAACATATATGAATAACACTCCTAGCATACATGACCACTCCGTAGCAGATCTATACAGGTGGAGCTGGGGAAGGTGGAGGGTTTCTGAAGTGCGCTGCTACTGCTACAGCAAACACTAGCATAGTATTTGAATGCTGAGCAGCGAGCTCATTGGCCACTGATACAGGAGAGAACCAATCAGCTGTGACATGAGATAATGATGCCATTATGTCATATTGAGTTAGATCTATCGGAGTGCAACATCTAGAGTTTCATGCCAGAACTTTGTATGTACAGTATATTAGAGCATGTTTTACAAGAAAAACTATTTCATTCCTTCTACTTCAAAATGTAAATACAATTCAATACTTGTTGTTTCTTTGTAATAATTTACTAGCAATTTCTGAGTGAAAATTGTATCTACACCAAGTCTAGCAAAAATGCTTAATTTTACTTTTCTAGAATTTCATTAGGCCTACATATTATCAGCATGACAATCTGAGTGAAAATTTGCAATGAAAAATTACTTATTGTATTAGTGACCTGCACAAGTAGAAATATTTCTTGCTGATTTTACATCATGTTTATCTATTTTAAAATGTTCAAAATCCTGTTAAACTCTAGGTTTAAATGCACAACAATCACAGATTTTTAAAGTGCTCTCACTTTTTTGGATTCACTGTAATTTTACCTATTAATAAAGTACAGTCTCTTGCTCTCTCTAGCTCTGTGATCCTGCTGAACTGTGTATTGATTAGTGTGAGTAATTAGATCCCTGTCCTGCCGGTGCATGCGCTGATATTTTTGTGAGCTCTGGGACTCTGGTGCAGCGGTCTTGTGATGTGAGGGAACTACAGTAAACTCTTGTGGTTCATTTTAAACCTTAAAACTGATTGCTGAATGGAAAGCAAACATGACAGACATGTGCAAGAGGAGCATCAATGCAAATACTGCATGTGTTTTTACTTCATCACAGCACAAAACACTGAGAATATCTGCACTATTTGTTCCTCAGTGACAGTGTCTGGGGAACTGTGCAGCTTAAGTCCTTTGTGCTGATTAAACACCTGCAATAATGACCCATGCTTGTCTGACCAGGATATATGCATCGGTCTATACACTGGATAGACTTCTAAAATGAAATTGTAGCATACAACCTCACAACATCCAAAACGCCAGCTGAGCATGTATTGAGAAAGTGCTGCAGTCAAAAACAATGGCATAATTTCATCTGTTTTGAGATAAAGTATTTCAGCAATACAATTCAATATATACAATGTTACTGATATTTCTGTAATACTCCAATATACTTATATATGTGTGTGTGTGTATGAGGGAGAGAGAGAGACCCTGGCATTTTTTTCTGATTTACTGTTTGCTACATAAAATCATCCTTCATAAGGTAAAGAACATTCTGTGAAAATGTAACCTTGATATCTTTAATATCGACTGAGCACAAGATTGAATGTCAAAGATTGAAATCATAGTGAAATGAATGGTTGAAATCAAACCTTGATGCTTGTTATCTCATAATTAGATTTTGAGACTTTAGCCTGGATTTCACAGAGAGGGTCTCGTATATATTCGCACGGGTCACTTTTGAAGGCCGCTATTGAAATTTTCACTGTATTTTCTTGGCCTTGAAGTACATTTTGAAATGTGTTTTGGTATATGCAGGCTGAAACTAAATATATTTTCAATTTCAAAAATATTTTTATTGAGCTTCACTGTCTACAAGACATTTTTTAGCATATATTTGAAATGTATTTTACACGGTTCTACCCTGTGTCTAATACCACAGTAGCATATCCAAAACCCACAGTACTTTCTGCAATTGAGACGAGAGAGCATTCAGAACACAACAGCATACACACACGACCGCGCGCGCAGCTCCCCCTCCTCCCGAGGCTCTTGCTCGATTATGTCATACTTACAAAATTATCGGTTCCTCCGGTGAGATTGTCCGGGCAGAGCACGTAGAACGAGATCCCGGGCTCGGCGTAGAAGTCCAGCCTCCTCTCGTCCACGTCCTCGGCGAAGATCAGGTCAAACGGATTCCCGGAGCACCATTTCTCGGCGGTGTCCACCAGCTCTTTGAACTCCATCCTGCCTGACGGACTGACGGCGCACCTGAGCCGCGGAGGATGCTGAGGATGCGGATGCTGAGCGCTAAGGCTGCGTCGTCATGGTGATCGCAGATGATTCCGGTTCTGCTTCTGCTTCTGCTGCGCTCTCACTGTCTCATACCGGCCTGTAGCTGAGTGTTCCTGATCTGGACCTGCAGGACCGGACCCGCTTCAGCCTCCTGTGCGGAAAAACAACGCCTGTCCTCGGGCAGAGTGACGTCACATGACAACACATGCGCCCATCGTCATCAGCTTCACAAAGGACCATCTCTAAAGAGACAGCCGTTCCCCCCCAACTGTTTACACGGCACACCTACTGAATGTTTTCCAAATATATCAATAATCATAATAAATGCCATCTCATTTTGATCTTATATAGTAGATGTGAATTATTCCTAACAACAGCAGCAGCAGCAGAAGCAGCAACAACGACATAATACAAACACTAAAATAATAATAATTGAATCTCATTTAAAAGCTTGAAATATCTATATTAATACAATTTTAATTATATATATATATGCATATGTAAATATGAATTATTAGAGCAACATAATAATAATTAAAAATATACATTAAAATGTAATAAAAATAGTTTAGTAACGAATATTCTATTCTATGCTCTATATTATATCATAGACATTACATTTTGTTGGGTTACACCCAACAGAGACTCAAAGTTAATAGTTAGAAGAACAATAGACTGCAAGGTTAGAACTCATTTTCCACATGAAAAGATCTATTCTATTCCTCTGGAGGGCACCATTAGTCTAGTTTTTGGTATTTTTTCTCTGACTAAAGCAGGTCAGGATGCTCATTTGGAAACTGATAAACCTGATGAAACACTTTACGCCACAATGCAAACTGATGTTTGTTCTTCATCTACTCATCTCTTTATGTATCTGATCTATAGAAGAAACATTGTTTTTATTGTTTTAATATAATACATTTTCAGGGCTAAAGCAAAAGGGTTTTATGAACTGTAAACAGGCTCCTGAAAAGCAGAGTGTTACTGATAATTGAACTTTATTTTGAGCATCAGTGTGTCTGTGTTTATGTTTGACTCAGACTTTTTTTGTTTTGACATCAAATAAGGGCTAACTGGATTGAACCAGGAAAACCTATGCTTGTTTAGTATTTTGCAAACTGATTGAAAAGAAAACAGCAAAGACATTCATCACCTATGTGTGCTAACATACACAGAATGAGAGTTATAAATATTTATGAATCATTGGGATTTTAGAGTTTTAAAAAAACTCACAGTTTAGCGTCTTTGGTGTCTTCAATATTTTGTATGTCTCTGACAAGGTTGAAAAAGCAAACTAAAAAGTAAATTGGTATTTTAAAAATGTTATTTTTGACAGAGAATATCTGATAAAGTGCTAAAAATCATTTTGATTAACATATAACACAACATAAGCCTTTAAATACGCCTATTTAAAATCTCTATTTAATAAAAAGTGAATGTGCTATATATACAGTATTTATATATATATATATCTCATGTAAAATACATATTTGAATAAAAATTAGGCATGTTGCCTTGGCAATTAATTTAGATAAAATAAGTTGAAGTACAAAAAATGAACCTAAAATATAAATAACGCCTAATGCTAAAATAATGTAAAATGCATGTAAACTAAAACTAAAATAATACTAAATACTAAAATAAAACTGAAAATACCTCATTCAAAATATGAATAAATACTGTTCTATTATATAGATAATACTAAAATAAGACTGCTTGAATGCATCAGTGTGTGCATGTGAACTGCAGTGACCCTCATGCAGGACAGCGAGTGTTTGAGCCGGAGGGGGCGGGCAAGATCTTCTCATTCTCCAGTCTGCCGGTGCTTTGTGTGAGTTTTTGTGACTCGGCAGACTAAGTAGCCTATCTTTTGGATATGAGGAAAGATCGTACGCTTTTCTTTTAATCGCGTTTTCTGGATGTACCTACTAATGGAGTGAGCGCGGACCATCTGAGCCCGTTCTCCCGGACAGAGACCCGCTTTGTTCGAGCAGTAGCCTAATAGACGAATCACGTCTGCTATCGAAATGAGCGACACGGAGAAAGATAACAAATCTGATGAAGACTCGGAATCCCTGGAGGAAGAGGAGGTTGACCCGAGGATTCAGGTACAGAGCAACACAATCCAGAATTCACATCGGCAGAACCATTTAAACCGGATTAGAGCGAAACCCGATTGAAGGTTGCGTTAAGATATAGCCTAGGCTATGGATATGCATGTTGTTATAAGCTATATATATATTTATATATACCGTCCCGAAACCAGAACTGAAGATAGACCGAGCCATCAAACTCCGATTGGAGTAAAGCTTGATCAGAAAGCTTCATGCATTAATAATCCGATCAGATAATGTTCTGTTTGTTCAAACAGTTCAGCAGCTGCTGTTTGATCTGACAAGGGGAACCCCATCGTTTCATCAGCTGTTATATTCTGTTACATTGTTTCATTGTTTGTTACACTGAGGACCCGCGTTGACAATCATGTTTACTTTGATGTCATATTTAGAACTAATTTTCCTCTGTAAAGGAAAGAGTTAAGCTCACGTGCACAGTGCGTTTTACAAAGTGTAAGAATAATACGATGCGTTTTATTCAATAGAAAACACCTAAAGTGTAAAATGTATGTACAATGTATTTGAATGTAGCCTATATCTACACTCTAAAAAAAATGCTGGGTTAAATATAACCCAGCGCTGGGTTAAAAAGGGACAAACCCAGCTATTGGGTTGTTTTGACCCAGCGGTTGGGTTGTTTTGACCCAGCTCTTGGGTTGTTTTGACCCAGCTCTTGGGTTGTTTTGACCCAGCTCTTGGGTTGTTTTGACCCAGCTCTTGGGTTGTTTTGACCCAGCTCTTGGGTTGTTTTGACCCAGCTATTGGGTTGTTTTGACCCAGCGGTTGGTTTCAAAACACCCCAATAGCTGGGTTTGTCCCTTTTTAACCCAGCGCTGGGTTATATTTAACCCAGCATTTTTTAGAGTGTATATACAATAGGCATAAAAACATAATATAAGTAATTTTTGAAAGCAATGACATAGGCCTATAGACATTTCAAGCAAGGCTTAGATTAATTTATCCAGATATATTTTCGTCTTTTCTTTTATCACTTTTTATTATTATAAAACATTATTTGATCATACCTCTTTTTGTGTAATGTTTTGCTTCAAATGTCCACTTGTGGCACTTGCCTCAAAAGAAATGACACTTTTAATGCATTTTAAATTATGCTTTTCTCTTGAAAGCGAAGAACCTTTCTGTGTTAGACTGTGTGCTAGTTGTGCTAGCTGAACTGGTTTTTCATCCTCCACCCACGAAAGAAAATAAACGCATGATGTTGTAATGAAAACAACATCTGTGTGTCATCAGCGTGTAGCTAACATAGCAGGAAAAGCATGCATATGAGCTTAATCTCAGTGTTGGGTTACTTGAATAACACTTTCCAGATGTTGTCGGCCTGCTGGCATTGCAAAAGACAACTTACTGCAATCTTAACTCCTTCTGCCTCGCTTTATCTCTTCTACAGGGTGAACTGGAGAAACTGAATCAGTCGACAGATAACATCAACAGATGGGAGACGGAACTGGAGGTAAGGTTCACATGCATGCGTTGTGGTGTCACTGTTTTCACTGAAAATGGTTGCGGGCGGAATTCCAAAGTGAAAAAATGTCTAAACGCTCAGACCCTCCCCCCTTCTGCCACTGACCAATAGGAAGTTTCTTGCATGTGACTGACACACTTTATATCTGTTGAGCAGCAGACAGAGGAAATCTCTTCTATCCGAGTCTGGAATTCCTGCTGCCTTGAAAGCCACAGGCCACGACAGCTAAAGGAGTAGTTTAGGAAAATGTTTTTTGACTTTCTTCTAGAGGAGAAACACACAGAAGTAATTGCCAGTTGCTAAATTGGCATCAGAAATGTTCATTTCCATGTTTTGTTTCAGCTCATTTCCTTAGAAAAAGCACTGAGATGTTACCATGGTAAATGGATGGTGTCGATGATAATACCATGGTATAAAAAGTAAAGTATTTCAGAGAATATCATGTTACTACCTACAAAAAAAGAAAACTTTGTGTTAGTGTCAGCAATAATAATTATCAAAGCACAGTGATAATCTATGTCTACATTGTTGTAAAATTTGCCATGTATACACTCTAAAAAAATGCTGGGTTAAATATAACCCAGCATTTTTTAGAGTGTATGGTAACACTTTAGTATAGGGACTAATTCTCACTATTAAAGTTGTTTGTTAGCATGCCTATTATTATTATTACATATTCTGCATGAGCATATTCTACATCCCTAATCCTACCCAATACCTAAACCTAACAACTACCTTACTAATTATTAATAAGCAACACATTAGGAGTTTGAGGCAAAAGTCATAGTTAATGGTTTGTTAATAGCGAGAACTTAAAATAAAGTGTGACCATATATATCTGTGATCATCAGATCTTATTTTGTAAAACACTTGTGAACAGGAATTAATCTCAACTAATGTAGAGTGTGTTATGTAAATGTGTTAATTTATTATTATTGATATGCTATTATAGTATACTTTGTGCTTTGTCATTTTTATTTATTTTTTTTGTTATACTATTTTTGTTTTAATTCATTTGTATTATATTTTTAGTTTTTTATTTCAATTTTAGTTTTTATTTATTTCCAGTTAATAATTTTAGTGCCTCAACCAAACCCATTTTACTTAGCTGTCAAGCAGGGTTATTATACACTGTAAAAAAAAATCTGTAAAATTTACAGTAAAAAACCGGCAGCTGTGGTTGCCAGAATTTTACCGTCAAAAATACGGTAGCAACGTTTTAGGTTTTACGGTTTTAACTTAAATTTACAGTTAAATACCGTAATTTCATTAACTGATATAATGTTAATATACCAACCTATTGAAGTACTGTTTTGTACCTTTGTGATACACTGATAACCACCAAATGCAGGAGGTGATGAGAAAGTCACATGATGAACCAAAGCCCATCACAAGCAGCTTTTAAATAATAACATATATAGAAGGTGCACAGTGTGTCATTCACACAGACACTAAACACCATCACGGTAACACACATGAAGCTGAAATAATGCAATAAACATTAATTTTAACAACATTAGGTGTAACACACAACCCTAATATACAAAACTGATAAGAAAAAACTAAGAAGAAACATAGTTATTTCAACAAAAAAACATCAAATTTGAAATGTAACGCAGGGAATTCTGGGAATTCACTGTAAATTATACTGTCTTTTTCACTTCCAAAATGGTATACTACCGTAAAATTGTAAAATACATGTCCAATACAGTTTTGCACCGTATATAGTAGGGGAATTTACTGTTAACCATTTAACAGGTTTTTACTGTAGCATTTTTACAGTCTTTTACCGCTAAATTCACGGTATTTTTTTACAGTGTAGATAGATAAATAAGATAGAAAGATAGATAGATACATAGATAGATAGATAGATAAGATAGATAGATATATAGATAGATAGATTACACTGTATTTCTACATTGTCTAAATTTCTTAATTTTACAAATGTGTACTAATTGTACTAATTTATACAACGGCAGCTGTGGTTACCGGAATTTTACCGCAAAAAATACGGTAGCAATGTTTTTAGGTTTTACGGTTTTAACCTAAATTTACAGTTAAATACCGTAATTACATTAACTGATATAATGTTAATATGCCAACCTATTGAAGTACCGAAATCTGTTTTGTACCTTTGTAATACACTGATAACCACCAAATGCAGGAGGTGATGAGAAAGTCACATGATGAACCAAAAGCCCATCACAAGCAGCTTTTAAATAATAACATATATAGAAGGTGCACAGTGTGTCATTCACACAGACACTAAACACCATCACGGTAACACACATGAAGCTGAAATAATGCAATAAACATTAATTTTAACAACATTAGGTGTAACACACAACCCTAATATACAAAACTGATAAGAAAAAACTAAGAAGAAACATAGTTATTTCAACAAAAAAACATCAAATTTGAAATGTAATGCAGGGAATTCTGGGAATGTCAATTTACGGTTATTCACTGTAAATTATACAGTCTTTTTCACTTCCAAAAACGGTATACTACCGTAAAATTGTAAAATACATGTCCAATACAGTTTTGCACCGTATATAGTAGGGGAATTTACTGTTAACCATTTAACAGGTTTTTACTGTAGCATTTTTACAGTCTTTTACCGTTAAATTCACTGTCATTTTTTAGTTAACTAAAACTGAAACTGCTGTTACTTGAAATAACATGATTAAACTTTATAATTTTAAATTTTTATTTCAGCTAGTTACCAATATAACATTTCTCATCTTCGTGTAGTTTAACTTGATGCACTAAAATAACTAAAAATGAATAAAAATATAAAGACGTTTAAAAAAACTAATAAAAAGGATAAAAATCACCAAAACTTAAACAAAAATTAAAATGACAACTGAAAATATAAAAATAAACTAAATTAAAATATTATTAAAAACTATAACAATATATATCAATTATATTAAAATAACACTGCTGCCAAGGCAACATTTCTAATTTTGGTTTGGTTAGTTATTCATCTAATTTTATTTAAGCCTCATTTCAATTAACAAACATTTTTTCAATAGTTTTAGTTTCAGTAACCCTAGAATTTAGACATATGTGTTTTTAAAGCCCTCTTAATTTCAGATTCAGGACTATTTGTTCCTTGTCAGATTGGATTTATAAAATACTCATCCACAGTTCTCTGTATTTGACTCTATTTGGCCTGTGGTTATTCAGCAGAATGAACCAGGAAGTGTCATTCTGTCAGAGGAAGTCTAAATCCCTCTGACGTGCTTTTTGTCTTTGAGGTCCTGTGTGGAAGGATGTAGATGTCAGTGTTTTTAAATATGTCATCTGAGCGACCGAACCCACCCGATGACAGATTCATTCAGAGCTGGACACCATATACACACACACTTGCCCTCTGCTTATCTTATGCAACAAACGTGATGGTCTCTTTAGCGTGAGAGGGAGTTTTCTGTCTAGAAAGCAGGGTGTGGATTCTTTCTCAACTGTGTTAAATGCTGAATTGAGTTAGCTGAAGCAGCGCTTTTCAGAGAGCTACAAAAGGCTGATTATTGAAGCATTTCAGACAGTGCTGTGAAACTGAAAGATGGACGCTCATAATTCAGAGATTCCTGAGCTTGCAGTTCATGCTGCCTGGATATGATGAGCCTTTCAATGAACTGAGATTTATTCAGATTTCACAGACTGCATGCACTGTAATGTCTGTCAACACAAAGACAAGTATTCATCTGTCGCTGTCTTTTATTCAGTAGTTCATACAGTTGAATTAAATATATTATCCATAATGCTTCACAATACTATGATGTCCATGGAAATAGTGTGAGCCTTAGACAGCACTGTTCACTGATGCACATTGCACACAAAAATGCAATTTTAACATCTGAATGGGCTTTAGGAGGGTGAATGCACTACATTAGGGAACAAAGTTGTGTTTAAGTAATAGTTCAGCCAAAAATGAACACTAGCTGAAAATGTACTCACCTTCAGTCCATCTGAGATGTAGATGAGTTTGTTTCTTCATCAGATTTGGAGAAATGTAGCATTACATCACTTGCGCACCAGTGGATGCTCTGCAGTGAATGGGTGCCGTCAGAATGAGAGTCCAAACAGCTGATAAAAACATCACAATAATCCACACCACTCCAGTCCATTAGTTAACATCTTGTGAAGTGAAAAAACGGTGTTTGTAAGAAACAAATCCATCATTAAGGTGCTTTTTAACTTCAAACAGTTGCTTCCGGTTAAAATCTGAATCAGGAGAGAAATCTGCACAGATCAAGCACCGTTTACAAACCAAAACAGCTCTAAGCAAATATTTTGATGTGAGAGACAGCAGGAGATGGACTTTTTCACTTGAGGAAGCGTTATTATGGATTATGGACTCTGGCTGTAAACAATTATTTAAAACAGATTTTGTTTCTTACAAACACAGTTTTTCACTTCACAAGATGTTAACTGATGGACTGGAGTGGTGTGGATTGCTTGTGGATTACTGTGATGTTTTTATCAGCTGTTTGGACTCTCATTCTGACGGCACCCATTCACTGCAGAGCATCCATTGCTGAGCAAGTGATGCGGTGCTACATTTCTCCAAATCTGATGAAGAAACAAACTCATCTACATCTTGAACTAAAGAACTGCACATTAAATTTGACAAATTTGTGAGGTTTGCGCCATCGAGATACAGTGTAGCCGACTTTTGTTTGATATACTTGAGTATATGTGCATTTGATTTTAGATTTACTCACCCCAAAAGGTCACTGTTCTGTAGGACTCCCGACAGAAGTTTCGTGCCGTCCTAGTGGAGGCCACGGTCAAGCTGGACGAGCAGGTCAAGAAGATCGGTAAAGCCGTAGAAGACTCCAAACCATACTGGGAGGCCAGGAGAGCGGCGCGTCAGGTGAGCTTCAATCCGTCATCCATGTTCAGTTTGATCATAGCAATATCTTACACTGAAGTTTGCACGGTGTGGATTTTCTGGATTCTTATCTAATCAATGAACACTTAGGAAAAACACTTTATATAGTCATTCACTAATGCCAACAGGAAAGCAGGCTAAAGCACAGAATTATGCAATAAAGGTTTGGCTGTTGAACAGCAGGAAACATCTGAGGAGCAGGTTCAGCAATCGTTCAGAGAAAAAAATGGAAAACTGGCTATGACTCTCTGAGACGGTCCTCAGCTGGTTCACTTCATATTACTGTACCAGTATGTTAACACAGACACAGTGAATCTATGTGCAAACTATGTGGAAATGACTTTAATGGCTTTTTTCTTGGCCACAAAGTAAAAGTGTTCACTATACAAATAATATATTTTACTTCAAGGCGTACATTTCTGCTATATGTACATTTACTGACATAGTCACCACTGATAAGCTACTGCTAAACATATTGTAGAAGCATTTGCAACGATTTGTATCGTGAAAAGCGCTATACAAATAAACTTGAAATGAATTGAACATTTTTTAAGCACAGTTTTACATTTTTTAAACAGTTTTACATTGTAAAGTGGCATGAACCAATTGTGTAATCTTTGTAAAACAGCACATTTACATAATTAATGTACCACAATATTCAATGATCAAAGAAATGATGATATAAATATAGAAGCAGTTGTTAAGAAAAACATTTGCCCCAGTTTAAATTCTCATAGTCACATGAGCACCATCCACCCCCAAACCTAGTGCTGTCAGCATTTCAATAATGAACCACCTGCAGTCCAGCGTACAGACATTTGTTTGCAAAAAGACTTAGGCATTTCCCATAGATAGAAACAGCTCTGGAGAGAAAACCGAACATGACGTCCTTCTCATGTGTCTAAATGCATGCTTCTCCTCAGAACACAACGACCCACAACACCTTAGCACTGTGACAATTATTACAACATAAATCTGATGTTTCATTTGTACAAGCATCTGTCATTATGTGAAAGTGTGCGCAGTTTAGCACGTCTGCTGTGTGTGAAGAAGGATTTGAGATCCCTGCTGCTTTCAGCCATGAAATGCTCTATATTATCACCTTGTGACAGTGATAAATCAACACAAATGTCGCACTCACACAGTCATAAAAGAGCTTTTTATATCCAGGAGGTGACTTTGGTTAGAGTGCTCAGCTTCTGGCTCTAACTCAATTATAACGCAGTCAAAACCCAACAGAAGTGGAGTGTTTACGATCACAAATCTTATCAGAAATAAATTTTTTGAAAGACGTCTCTTATGCTTAGCAAGGCTGCATTTATTGGATCAAAAATACAGTAAAAACAGATATATTGTGAAATATTATTACAATTTAAAATCACTGTTTCCTATGTGAATATCTGTTAAAATGTATTTTATTTCTGTGATGCAGCGCTGAATTTTCAGCATCATTAATCCAGTCTTCAGTGTCACATGATCTTCAGAAATCATTCTAATATGCTGATTTGCTGCTCAAGAAACATTTTTGATTATTATCAATGTTGAAAACAGTTGCGCTGCCCGATATGTTTGTGGAAAGCGTGATCCATTTTATTTTTCAGGATTCTTTGATGAATAGAAAGTTCAAAAGAACCAAATTTATTTGAAATAGAAATCTTTTGTAACATTATAAATGACTTTACTGTACTTTTTAACAATTAAATGCATCCTTACTGAATAAAAGCATTATTTTTTTTATTTTTTTATCTGTAATTGCATTAGATAAACTAATTTATGTGCAGTTGAAGTGTCAGGCTCTCACTAGTAAGATGTGCGAAGCCTTCAGGCAGTCAGAAGCTCATATTCTCAGTCTATTTTTACACACATTAAAACAAAATAATCTGAGATTAGTCATGAGTGAGTAAAACGCCAACAGGAAAAAGACATCGTCAGCTAATCTTATAAAAGCTCCTGGTAACACCTGATTCATTTAAGCAGAAGCAAACACAGGTCATAAACAATAAGTCATTAGATTTGTGTCTCTGTGGCATCTGTAAGCACTACTACAGTCAAAAATGACATTTTTACTTTCTTGATTCATGTTCCTGCTCTAATTGTGAACGATTGATCAAAACAATCAGTCACAACGATGCTTAATAATTCAGGTGGAGTAAATATGTTCAGCGCACACACCTTTCTGCATGTTATCTAATATGATTTAGTGGCTTGAGTTAATCTTGTTATGCATTATATCACTGTGTGTGATCTGTGTAAAGCCTCAAGCATTACTGTGTGGTTTGAGCTTTTTACACTAAATTGGTGCTAATTGATGTGTGTGTGTGTGTGTCTGTGCTGGTAATCAAATGAAGGTGGTCTTGTGTAACTGTCCTGTCATCACTCTGAAAGACCACCATGATCTGTCTGTGTCAGTAGATGAGACAGACGGTCAGCATCAGCACTGCCAGCTGTCCATCTGTCTGATTGCCATCGCCCACTTTACAGCCAATCAGAGCACAGCACACGGCCACGCCACCACTAACCTACAGCTGACCAGACAGACTGATAGACTGATAGACAGATAGATAGATAGATAGAGAGAGAGAGAGAGAGAGAGAGAGAGAGAGATAGATAGATAGAGAGAGAGAGAGCTCTCGTTCAGTTGTTCTGCATCATCTCTCTGTGTTCTGTCTGTGTGTCACGTGAACAGCAGCATCAGACATCAATGACAGACTGCAGCACGTGTCAGCTGACCTCACACCTTCACAGCGTGTGTCTGTGTGTGTGAAAGGAGGTTAGAAAAGAGACACACACACACATTATCATGGACAAATCAAGGTCAGACAGCACATGTTATCCAGACTGAGACTGCATTTGACTGGCTAAAATTAACACCAGTCTCCAATCAAACCACTGAAAGTGCTGGTGCATCATCTCATATGCAAATGTAGAACTATTTTAGTCCATCTCTCCAGCTGGACATTAAAATATGCAAGAAATTGTTTGCACATTTCTTTTCTTTGCACATTTCTTTTCTGCTCTTAAAAACTGCATGCCAACATGCATTTCTTCAGCATAGTATGCCCATTTTATGCATGCATCGAATACACAGATGACATACTAAATTTGCTGCAAATTGTACACTTAAAGACTTAGATTAAGACAGTTAGATTACCCACTGATATTGTTAGTATCACACTAATCATTTTATTCATACTATTTGTTCAGTAAGCATTATGCAGTATACAGTGCAAATATGCACATTTTCAGTATTCATGCATGGAATATATGAATGACCAGCTACATTTGCAAAAATGTGCATGTCCATACATCCCATAATGCATTGCACTTGACTTAACCTTGTATTTATAGTGTGATGAATGAAAAGTTGTTTTTTTTTTTTACATATTTTCTGGACTTAATTAGTTCAGAAATGTTTGTTTTCTGAAAATTATATTAAAATTAAGCTTAAAACAAGAAAAAAAATTGCCAATAGGGTCAAAAAAATAAACTTAATTGTAACGGGGCTGACAAGACGTGAGACATGTGGATCCATCTGCAGGCTTTATTTGAGATACGTGGTAAACAGGCAGGGTCAAAACACTGGCAAACTGGTATATGGCGGGCAAAACACAAGAATAGTCACAGGGCTAGCGTAGGTCACCGATCAGCAGACAGAATCACAGGGGCGAGACGAGAGGGAGAAATCCAAGAAAACAGGCAAAGATCAAAAACAGGCAAGGCAAAACAAGGAAAACACGGAGACTCGGAAAGGGGTACAGGCTAAACACTACTTAGCCGAGAAATGTGGTTAGAGTGGGTGTTATATAGTGAATGAGGTAATTAGAAACAGCTGTGTGCAATGAGTGCAATCAGGGCAGTGTGCAAATTGTGCAAAGCATGATGGGAAATGTAGTCCGGGGTGCTATGCAACAGTTTGTGTAGTGCGAGAGTCAACGTAAATGGAAAGGGTGACATCTGGTGGTGAATAAACAGAAGTCCATGGACTGAATTCGTGACACTTAATAAGTGAACATTTGATTATTTTTCTGACCACACTGGAAGACTTTTTAAAAAAAATTTTAAGCATAAACTTTTTTTTTTTTTAGAAAACACAATTTAAGAAGTCTTTTTGCTTCTCAGGTTAATGTATCTTGATTGAGCAAAGTTTAGATGTTTTGGAAACACAGTAATGCATACTTATAAATGCTCATTTATAATTTACATGGCTAGAAAATACAAAATTACAATTCTGACAGCTCAAATAATATATTAATAATACATGTGCAACTGAATTTACAGATTTACAAGCGCTAAAGAAAAGAACAAGCTGCTTTGAAATAATATTTCAAGTTCTTGACTATAAACCGAGTTCTTGTTTGGTTTAATAATCTGCTTTGTGCTTAACTCTATAGATAGCATCTGTGATTAATTTGCACTGAACCTTAAACATTCCTTCAAAATCTGAAGGTTGCTGAGTTTGTTGGTTTAGATTTAGAGGATATAACTAAGAAATACCTCATGAAGTGAGATTGGGCTTTATGAAATATACAGTAGCCTCTTGTCCAAGCTTTCTTTATGAATTCCTTAGCAGAATATAGATTTGAATAATGTAAGAGGGATCGTCTCTAAATGAGAAGCTCGTCCCGCAGAGAGACAGAGACTGCAGCGGTCACATGACCAATTAAACCTGAGCGGCTAATGCTAATCTGGCTAATCTGTCAGCACTGATAGGAATCACGGGGATTTAATGTTGTTTCAGTCTCAGACGAGACAGAGGAATGTGACATCACTGTGGTGTTATTGTAGTGCCATTAATATATTATTATAGTTTTTATGAAATTTTGAATGAGCTTTTTTATATTTTCCATTTTTATTTAAATTTTAGTTAAAGTTCTAGTAATTTTGTTGTGTGTTTGTTATTTTTAGTATTTAAAAAAAAATGTCTTATAGTTTCTTTTACTTCTGTTTTACTTTGAGTTATTATTTTTTCAATAAGTTAAGTTTTTAATATATTTTATTTTGTTTTAAGTAACCAAAAATAGGCTGCATCATCAGCACTAATAATGTTTCATTGAGGGAAATTAAAAGAAAACAAAATAAGGTCCAATTAGTTCGTTTAATTAAGTTTTATTAATATTTTAAATTAGTGGTTATTTTTACATTTTCTATTTTACTCATTTTTAAAATGAAGTTAAATGAATTAATTTTAGTTTATTTATTTGTATTTTTTGTCTGTATACGTAGTTCTTATTCATTTTTATATCCGTTTTAGTTATTTTAGTACTTGAGAAATGATGCCTTTGCAACTAGCATTACTTTTCATGTTATTTTATTTCAAGTAATAAAATGATTTTTTTTATGATTTTTAGTTTTCATTTTAAAAATGTACCAATTTTAGTCATGTAGCTGAGAAATATAAAGTCACTTAAATAACACTCGTTCTTTCTTCATTGGTAGAAACTTCCCTGCAGAACTTCTCACACTGTAGTGCATGGCACTTTATGTGGTAAATTTGCATCATTAATATGAGCAGCAAATGAGTGATTATTGACAGCAGCTGTTTACTGCTGTATCCTGGTAACACTAAGGAAGCGTCATCATCACTTATGTAACATCTTAACATGTGCTCGCTTGCAACTGTCATCAATGCACTGCAAGAGATGAAGAATATGAGCTGCTGAGACATGCATCATGTATTAGTCTACAGATTACACCGGGTTGCTTTACGAGTTGCTTTCAAAAGTTTGGAAAGCAAACAGCTCGTTCTTCACCAAATCTGTGAAAGCATCCTCAGTCTCTGAAGTTTTCGTCTTTCAGGCTCAGGTTGAAGCTCAGAGAGCCACGCAGGAGTATCAGCGGGCCATCGAGATCCTCCGGGCCGCGAAGGAAACCATCGCTCTGGCCGAGGAGCGTCTGCTGGAGGAGGACAGCCGGCAGTTTGACTCGGCCTGGCAGGAGATGCTCAACCACGCCACCCAGAGGGTGAGAGTCACAACACAACTGAAAAAAACCATAAGCCATACGGTCCTTTAGTGTAGGCCACTGTTCTTTTGTGCATTATGCTATGCAGTTAATTTCTCTGAATTGCTCTGATTGGCTGTTCCAGGTGATGGAGGCGGAGCAAAGCAGGACACGCAGTGAAATCGAGCACAGAGAAACAGCGGCTAAATACAACGCCGCCATCAGCCACATGAGACAACTGGAGAAAAAACTCAAACGCACCATCAACAAGTCCAGGTCAGAGGACACAAGTCAGTGTTTTTGATATACATACACTACTGCTCAAAAGTTTGGGGTCGGTATTATTTTTTTAAAGAAATTAATGTTTATATTCAGAAAGGATGCATTAAACTGATTAAAAGTGACAGTAAAGTCATTTACACTGAACAAAATTATAAACGCAACACTTTTGTTTTTGCCCCCATTTGTCATGAGCTGAACTCAAAGATCTAAGACTTTTTCTATGTACACAAAAGGCCTATTTCTCTCAAATATTGTACTGTCTAAATCTGTGTTAGTGAGCACTTCTCCTTTGCCGAGATAATCCATCCACCTCACATGTGTGGCATATCAAGATGCTGATTAGACAGCATGATTATTGCACAGGTGTGCCTTAGGCTGGCCACAATAAAAGGCCACTCTAAAATGTGCAATTATTATTATAATCAGAAATGTTTCTTGGGCAGCAAATCAGCATATTAGAAGGATTTCTGAAGATCATGTGACACTGAAGACTGGAGTCATGCTGCTGAAAATTCAGCTGCGCATCACAGAAAGAAATTACATTTTAACAGATATTCACATATCAAACAGTTATTTAAATAGTAAAAATATTTCACAAATGTTGATGTATTTTTGATAAAAAATAAATGCAGCCTTGGTGAGCAGAAGAGACTTCTTTCAAAACATTAAAAATCTTACCAACCCCAAACATTTGAACAGTAGTGCATTTAAACTAAACGTATATTTTTCAATCTCTCTTGATGTCAAAACTGTTACAAAACATTTCAAAACTCCACACACTGAATATGATGATATAATGGGCAAAACTCGAAGTGTCTGAGGCGTTTACATAATGATCATACATATAAATCATGTTGTAATGGACATAAAACGAAGACTCCCTAAAATCTTGCTGGAACAAGTTCTGTAAGCACGTGTTCTGCAGGGTTTGCATCACATGAACTCACTTCAAACATGTTAATATTTGGGAATAAAATGATTTTTCCTTCAGAAAAGCCACAGAGTGTTTCCTCTCTGATGGAAATGAGAGTCGAGTGTTTTGTGGGCCCCTCCGCGGGCCCCTGCTCCGCTCTGCTGTGTTTGGGTTGCGGATGGAATTGTAGTTCAGAGGGACGCGTCTCTAATGGGTTCCAGATGTGCTTCTGCTGCTGGAATGTGCCGGTCCTGCTGTTGCCATGGAAACCGGCTCTGACACTCACTCTGCTCTGATCTTTCTCTTTCTCTCCCTCTGCAGGCCGTACTTTGAATTAAAGGCCAAGTATTATCTTCAGCTCGAGGTACGCCAGTTTTTGTTTTGTACAAAAATATATTCTAAGAATGATTCATACCAAACTGAAATGAAGGCTAATTTTAATATATATATATATATACACACACACATCATTTTATAAAATAGTATTTTATTTAATCAGAATTTAGTTCAATTGCAATGGTTTATGCATTATTGTGGTAATGAATTTATGTTGATGTTTATAAATAAATCATTGTATTACAGTATGTTTATATTATTTTTTTTAAATACTTCAATTAAATGTAAACATAAATTTATATTTTTAAATGTATATTTAAATATATTTGAAAACATTAAATAATGTTTTAATATATTTATATATTTACGTAATATAGTAATGCGAATCACCTTTAATTTACTAAATAAACAAACAAATAAATAAACAAACCATCCAGACACATTACGTACAATTTGTAATGAGTAATTTTTTGTATTATTTAAAAAAAAAAAAGTCAATTAAGTGTAAATATAATTTAAAATAATACTTTACAAATATTTTAAAAAGTATATAAAATATTTTGTTATTTTATATTTTAATATATTTTATATTTTGTTAATGTAATACACTAATGAGAATCTCAGGAAAAACACCATTAAACATGGGTAATTACAAACAAACAAATAAAACATCCAGGCATATTAATTTGGGGAGAAATTTGTCTAATTTGTGTAAAAATAAAAAATATCGTAATTATGCTAAAGTAGCCTTCATTTTCTTTAGTCAAAATTTATTTTCAATATCATGAAGAAATGTGAGTTTTTGGATGGTTTTAGTAATGCATGAATATTCTTTTTCAAAACACAAACTAACATGTAGATTTGTTCTGATTTTGATCATAATTATTGGTGACCTGTTCTCCGCTTCTCCTTGTCCTCCCATACAGCAACTGAAGCGGCGGGTTGACGAGCGTCAGGCTAAACTCACCCAGGCCAAAGCCGAGTATCGGACCGCCCTTCGTAACCTGGAGACCATCTCAGATGAGATCCATGCACGGCGCAGACTGTCTGCCATGGGGCCCCGGGGCCGAGGGGTGGGGGCCGAAGATGACGGGACTGTAACCGATGACATCGCAAACTTCAAAATGGAGTCTGACGGCATATCGAGTAAGTGAGATCACACATTATTGCCAAGATTTGATTGTAATTCAGAGTGAAAGTCTCTCAGTTTGATTTAGCTTCAGCCGTGCCTGTTTTAGACGACATAAACAACATTTGAGCTAATACAGTGGCACAAAAAAGTGATTATGAACTTTATGAATTTTAATGCATCAGATAACAAAAATATCATATTTTCCCATATTAAACCTAACACAATTCTATTTGTGCTATTTGCTTATTTTTTTCAGGGCCACTGTATGTATTAAATCAGTATGTAATTAATTCAGTACTATTAATGATATGAACTTGTTTTAATAATTGATTAACTTTACAGTGCTATTGAACCAAATCTGAATCAAAACTCATCTCACTTGAGCTGAATTATGAAACTACTTTAGAAGCAGAATTTTAATTAGTCTAATGTTTAATACAATTTGCATCACAAATTCTATTATTTTACTTTGAATTAAAGGCAAAACATTATCAGCTTCATGTTCATCCCAAAATCAAAGAAAGAAAATTTAATTTTATATATTAAAAATATTATAAATGATAAAATATTTTATATTATAAAATATTTATATAATGTAAAATGACAAATTATGTATATATATATGATATATTTATATATAAAATAATATATATTTATATTTTAAAATATTTTATCTAAAGAAAATGAAGGCTAGTTAAGATTTTTTGCGTTGTGAATGATTATTTTCATGACAAATAAGAATTAGTTTCAACCTTTACTGTAATCTCTTTCAATTCATTACTGTAATCTGAAGTAAATCATATTTTAATTAAATTATTTAAATTGTAATGGAATTGTGTCATGGAAGTTCTATTGTACTAAATGTCATTTATTGATTTAAGTATACAAATTATTGTATTACAATGAAAATAATTTCATTAATTAGTTTTATTTATATTGAAAGAATATTGAATATTAAAATATTATAACATAATACTATATTTTTTAATACTGAACTCATAATTGTTCAACTTTACAGTTAATGAACCGAATCTGAACCAACACTGAAATTGAGCTGAATAATACAACTGTTGTCTTTTTCGAGCTGCTTTACAGCAGAATTTGTCTCATTGCATCATTGATTCTGTTACTCTCTGGTTTAATGCTGTGAAGCTGCTTTGAAACAGCATCTACTGTTTAAAGCTCTATAGAAACGAATGTGATTTGACTTGACCTGTCTTCAACAGGAATTGTTTCTAGTCTCCATTCAACAGCATGAAGTTAAGTTGGAGACTAAATTCATTCTGTGTTTGTTGTATAGTGTTGTCTGTGAATTTCGAGGACAGCTGTAACGGCTCACCATCAGAAGACGATCCTGAGACCCAGTCCACCTGCAGCATGAGCTCCACATCTGCTCCTCTCGACCTGCCCTGTCCTTCCTCCTCCTCCTCCTCATATCCTCTGCTCTCTTCCTCCTGCCCGTACCCTTCCTCTTCCTCCTCCTCCTCGTCCCTCTCTGTCTGTCCTGACCTGCTCCAGCTGCCAGGCTCGGGGTCTCTGGAGGGTTTTGCAATACTCAGAATTCTGATGCACTCTGTTTGCCAGATTTGGGCCACGAGCAAGCCAAAAGAAGGCCCAATGTCAGCCATGAATAAACCACATAAAGCAAAACTGGCCCAAATCTGGGCCACATTGATTTGAATTCTGGCCCAGACCCGGCCCACATCCAACACCTTACTCCGGCCCACATACTGTGAAGAATGATGGCATTTGCGTGGACCACTCCTGTTTGCCAGATTTGGGCCACAAGCAAGTCAAAGGAAGGCCCAATGTCAACATTGAATAAACCGGTAACACTTTACAATAAGGTTCATTAGTTAACTACATTAGTTAACATGAACTAATAATGAACTGCACTTATACAGCGTTTATTAATCTTTGTTAATGTTAATTTCAACATTATTAAAATCTTGTTAACATTAGTTAATGCACTGTGAACTAACATGAACTAACAATGAACATCTGTATTTTTATTAACTAACGTTAGTGAAGATTAGTAAATACAGTAACAAATGTATTGCTCATGGTTAGTTCATGTTAGTTTATACATTAACTAATGTTTAACTAATGAACCTTATTGCAAAGTGTTACCAATAAACCAAATAAAGCAGAACTGGCCCAAATCTGGGCCACACTGATTTTAATTCTGGCCCAGATCCAACATCTTACTCCAGCCCACATACTGTGAAGAATGATGGCACTTGGGCGGTCCGCTCGTGTTTGCCAAATTTGGGCCACAAGCAAGCCATAGGTAGGCCGCATGTCAGCCATGAAAATAAATCAATAAAATAAACCAGAACTGGCCCAAATCTGGGCCACATTTATTTTAATTCTGGCGTAGTTACAACACCTTGCTCCGGCCCACATACTGCTTGGAATAATGGCATTTGGGCAGTCCAGTTCTGTTTGCCAGATTTGGGCCTCAAGTAAGCCTTAGCATTGCTGCGTGTAAGCCAACCGAATAAACCAAAACTGGCCCTAATGTGGGCCATGGTTGATTTTTATTCTAACCCTGGTCTTCCCCACAATCCTCATGTGGCCCACATGCTGCACGGAATGGTGGCATTTTGGCAGTGGTTCACAAGCAGGCCACGACACAGCCACATTTTAGCTAATAATGAACTAAATAAACCATAAATATACATTATCTGGGCCACACTAAGCCTTACGTGAGTTATGCATTAACAACACTCAACATTGCAAAGAGAAATTTAAAAATGTCCTCCATAAATGTTCAAATAAGTTCCAGAAATGTATCCTACTTGATAAAATCATCCCGACCCAAGTTTTGCACAAGCAGCAATTAAAATGTCACAGATAAATATTCAAAGACACATTCCAATGCTCTAAAAACTGGTCTTCACAAGTTTGAACTTAAATGCTTCTCACTCAGACTCTACCTACACAGCAAGTCTGTGAGTGTCATAGCTACGCTGTGTTAAAGAGCGCACGGCGAAGACGAAAGGTTACATAGCACAAGTCTTTAATCCAACAAGGGTAAATCCAAACACAATGTAGCACAGCGACATGTAGACATAAGACCAAACAAACTCAAAGTGAACATACAGGAACTTAAGTACTCAGACCAAACAAGGATAATTAACTAGGCACACATGAACAGAATAATACAATCAACACAACAAGGGAAACGGTGCAAAAGGATTCCAAAAGTCCAAATTAACAGAAACCGTGACAGTAAGAGTGCAATCATTATAGTGCGCTTCTGTTTTTATGCTGCACAGTAGTGATGGGAAACCGAGGCTTTCTGAACCGTTTGAGGCTTTCAGCAAATTGTGCCGAAAAACGGACGGTTCATTACTCGAAACTTTTTAACACAGTGCGCATTAGCGACATTGGGTGGTCAGACTCGGTTTCTCCAGCCTATCTAACGTTCGAAGCTTCAAACGCCATCAATCATGTGGTATTGTCATTTCAATACAAGCATGGGCACAGTGTGTGATACAATAGTGCTTTGAAAACTGCGTCGGAGCATCGGAGCCTCTGTATCAACCGTCCCATCACTACCGCACAGTATTTAACTGCCATTAAAAGCATGTTTCAAAAAATAAATAGCTGCGTATGTAACCTTCTTAAGACTCACATCCACATCACACTGCATCAGTTAACTGTGTTGCGTCCAACTAAAAGTAGGCAAATTCTATTAGGCCATATTTACAATTTCAAACTTGCATTTCAATTAGCCAATGTCAAGTGCTACATTAAAAGCAGAAGTGGCCCTCATCTGTTTTATGATATATGGGGCATACTTGCCATGTGAAATGTGGGACAAGTTAGGCGTACACACTGATTAGCCAATGCTGACTGTGCCAAAGTGGCCAAAATGTTATTAATTATTTGGGCAATATTTGTCATTTTACATGCGGGCCACTTCAGGCTCACAGCCACATTAGCCAGTGCTTACCGTGCCATATTTTTGCCAAAACTGGCCCAGATACGCTTTACTGTGCGTTCACACCGAGAGCATCAAAAATCGCTCTGGCCGCCCTGCCAACAACGCTGTAGAAAGATTCGTGGACACTCTGATGCTCTGATGTAGATCTAATGCTTATCTTGTATTTAAAGGGGCCACAAAGCAAACAAGCTTGCTGATCTTGTGCAGACTGACCACAAGGAGGGTAACGTTATAAGTTAACCTCATTAAATATTGTTGTGGACGAAGTATTAAGATCGTTTACCTAATGATGTATAAAGCACTAATACCACTCTGTAAAAATTCTCTGATACAAGTAAAAGTCCTGCATTGAAAATGTTACTTAAGTATAATCAGGTATAAACATTACTTAATGTACATTTCATCAGGAAAACTGATGTAAAGGTTTAAAAGTGAACTGGGACTATTATACTATTATTTATTATATAATCAGATTATTATTACTGCCAGTGCTCACTGTGCCATATCTTTGCCAAAACTGGCCCAGATACGTTTGAGGATAACTGGGCCAGAGTTGTGGCATCATATGTGGGACACTTTAAGCTCACAGCTACATTGGCCAGTGCTCACTGTGCCATATCTTTGCCAAAACTGGACCAGATACGTTTCAATGTACCTGGGCCACATTTGCTGAAACATATGTGGACCACATTTGGTTTACACCCTGATTAGCCTTTGTCAATAATGCCACATTTTTGCCAAAGGTGGCCCACATTTGGTTGGCACTATTTGGGCCATAATCACTGTTTACCACATGGGCCACTTTAGGGTCACATTCAGATTATACATTGCCGTAAACACCGCATCTTTACCTACAGAGGCCCACATGTGATTTGATACATTTGGGCCATTTTTGCTGTTTTACATATGGGCAACTTCAGGTTTACATCCATTTTGTCCGGGCCATATCATTGGCTTAATTGGCCCACATCCACATGCTATCTGGGTAGTAGCCTACTGACAGTGTCGTATACATGGCTAAAGACACGAAAAGCGGAGGAACAAACAAACCGATTCAACTGAGTCATTTGCACTGGAACCGCTCCGATTAATTCAATTTGACTTCGAAACCAGTTCAAAAGAGCCTTTCATTTACAAATTTCGACATTGCTTGTAATGATTTTTAAAAGCACATTGTGAAATAGAGCTTTTCGAAACTCTGAATCAGTTAAACCTAAAAAAAAAATGTTTCGAAGCGCTCCAATTTGTATCGCAAATCATTTGATTCAGATTGGCGCTTGAATTCGCACATATCGCAAATCATTTGATTTAGATCAGGACTTCGGAGCGCGAATCAGATCAGAGCATGTTCGAGAATCTTTTGATTCAGATGGGAATTTCAGAGCGGGTACGCAAACCATTTCGCAAATTGAAAGATTACGCGCTCCAAAGTCCCCTAAAGGAAATCATTATTCAGATCGGGACTTAAAGGTCATAAAATGCGATTAAATTTTTTCCTTTCTCTTTGGAGTGTTACAAGCTCTTGGTGCATAAAAAAGATCTGTAAAGTTGCAAAGACTAAAGTCTCAAATCCAAAGAGATATTCTTTATAAAAGTTAAGAGTCAACCACGCCTACCTAAAACGGCTCGTTCTAACACGCCCCCACATACCTACGTCACTATGTGGGAAGATTTGCAGAACGCTGCCCAAATGTTCACGCAAAGAAAGAAGGCGTAACTTTTATTCTCGCTGTAGTATTGTTGCCGCCTCCGCCATGTCATGAAGGCGCTGTGTGCGTCATTGTGAAAGCGAAACTACTTTGTTAGGTCTTCCATAAGAGGACGATATCCGCTTCATCATGCCTGGAGCTGATCCGTGCTGGTCGCTGAGGAAATACATCAACTTTGCGCTGTGGATCGCCGGATCGGCTTTCACCGTGGACGAAGCAGAGTCCAGCATGGGGTCGTCACATGTGGTTGCCACAGGCATCACAATAAGGTAAGGGACGTAACGTTTCCGTCACACGCTTGAGGAATTCGGCCAATCACAATGCACTGGATAGCTGGCCAATTAGAGCACACCTCACTTTTTCAGACCAATGAGATTTGTAAAATCTACACGTTTCTGAAAGGCAGGGCATAGAGGAGAAACAATAATGTAGAGTATGTGGAAAATAATGTTTTTTGAACCTTAAACCGCATAAACACATTTCATTACACCAAATACACAAAATAATGTTCTTTTTAGTAGCATCATATGACCCCTTTAAGGGCAGATCGCACAAATCATTTGATTTAGATCGGGGCTTCGGAGCACATATCGCGAATCCTTTTTTTTTCTGTTTTATTTTTATAATTATTATTATTTAAACAATACAAAACATGGCAGCACATCAGTTATAAATGCAAAACTACAACACAGAAAAAAAAGACAAATAACAGATACAAATGTGTTGCCATGTTTAACAGAAAAAAGTAATACATTTGTACCTAAACCATGTCCATGTCTTTTTTTTTTGGTAGTAAAACCATGGTTAATTTTTGTAAGGGATGTGTTACCACTTGCCAGATTAACAAAAAAGTATTTACACTTTAAGAGGACACGTAATGAATATATACAGTTTTCACTGCTTTAGGATGACCAGAACTTTTCTATATACTTTTCTATATACTTGTCCAACTTTGAATAGCCTAAAGGAAAGATACATTTTATCTATGTGAAATTTAGCTAGCAGGAAACACTAAGTTATATTTTCCTACACTCTAAAATTGTTGGGTTGTTTACTGTACCCAGTATCTGGTTTAAACATATTGGATCGCTTGTTGGGTTATTCTTAAAAGTTTATTTGATTATTTCTATACCATTGCAGGCAGTTGGGTGAAAATTTTAAATTTCAATGGTCGGTTGGTGCAAATGAGACAGTGGTAAGGTAATATATCTGTGCAAGGTTACAGGAACAATAAAATATACTGTAAAATATTCTCACTCATTCAAAATCACCCAGAATATAATTTAGAAATGTGATGTTGTACTGGAGGTTTTTACTTTAGGTGCTGCTAAATCTATAGCAAAATCTAACAGCGTAATGCTTACACCTGGTTTTGTTAAGATCATTAATTAACTTAAAGCTCTTCTTGGGTCAAAATACAAGCTAATAGGTTAAAATAGGCTAATATGAAGCCCAGAATACACTTCAGTTTTGACGAACACTTAGCCTTTCAAAGTATATTCCATTTGATAGTGTGATGGACATATCCACACTAGAAAGTTTCATCCTAGTGCCTGTGCTTTTTCTCTCCAGACGTTATGACCAATAAAAATGTCTTTGCACTGGTTTAAACTAGAATTGCAGGTATCTCTTAACCCCCTCACGCAATTCAGGTGTCTGTTGTCGCAGTCTCCAGCTTATCCTCACATTTGTTTTCCAGTGTATGCTATCTATGCTTAAGCCCAAAGTATATCTCGTTTTTTATGCCTATGCTAGGGTGTGGTAATGGTTATTTGTATTATGTGCTTACAATTGATGCATCAGCTAAGCTACTGGTTGATAATCGGCTAGCATTAAATGCAGTCATGCAAGTATAACATTGGGTAATTAGTTTGTTCTGTGCAGACGATGTTTTAAGTCTCATAATGCATGCTATCTTTTTTGCTTTGCCAAAACATTTATCAATTCTGTTTCCCTTTTGTCATTCGCATATTTTCTTTCTTCATAAAATCATAACCTGATTTATATTATACTAAAATATTTGTATTCTATATTTAGTTTGTATTATATTTGTGTTGTTTTCAGATTTCAAGCTGTTTCAAGGTGGCACATCTAAGAATGGCAATCCTGTCTTTTATTATACTGCATTGCAGGTATGAACTTTAATTTTTGAGTTGTGCTATTTCAGTGTGATACCAGACCCGTGTAAGTTGTTTTGTCAAATTTGAGTTGGGTGTTCTGTTTGACTTCTCTTGTATCCTGTTCATCTTGTTTATTCTCTTTCCTTAAGGTTGACACAAGTTATATTTGCATTTTTGACAGATCAGTACTTTAAGAAGCTTTGCATGCATTTTGAAGCCTTGCCAGTCGAAACTTTCAAGCGATTTTAAACTGTTCAAGCACAGTAGACCCAAAAGTGCGGTATACGTGAATGCTCTATGACACATGGTTTTCTGTGCACACACACACCTGAAGTCTGCCACACAGTGCCAGTACTGAATTGAGTTCTCTTTCAATAGCTTTTGTAGTTTAAATAAGAATCAATGTATGGTGAATTTATACAGAGGGGACTATGCAGTTTTTTAGTTTATTCAATTTCTGTAGAATTACTTACTTCTGTTAGGTAGACCTACCTGAAAAACAATCTTTATTTTGATTTGTCCTATTGTTTGTAGCTTCATTGTTCTTCTTTTATTACTGATTGTTTAATTGTCCTCACTAAGCTTTGGGAACTTGTTACTTATATCAGGTAGGCTAGTATTATTTTGTTCTGTGATACCGAAATTTGTATTAAGAATTGTGAAAATTCAATGGAATCTAAAATGTTGGTATAATAGCAACCATATTTCCCTAGTGTGATATTGCTATCATGAAATAAAATTACTCATACGCAACACATGCAGATCCTTTTTAATAATTATATCTAAACTTCCGCCCTTAACCTGTTTTGCAGGTGAAAGGCTGTTTAGAAATGTCAGCAAAGAAATGTCACACAATCATACATATAAGAGCATGCCGATAGTTGTCAAAGCAGTAAGTATAGGCAAAACAATCAGTAATCTGACAAAGGCTGACATTAAATTGCTAGAAACTTGTGCAGTCACTGTCACAGGTGAATCTCGTAGGTTTTAGCTGGTTGACAAACTGAAAGAGTTGATGATCAGATCAGCTGAAAGAGTTTGAGAACTGCAGTAGAGGTGATCGTGTAGAATAGAAGTCCAAACAGCCACGTGAACCCCATATTAGGTGAAACCCCATTGCTGGTGTTGTTGCCGCTGGTTGTATTGTTGGCAAAACCATAGCTTGCAATCATCACAGCCACTAGCAGTAGTAGTATTTGAGTTTTAGAAGCCATATTCAGGTCTTTCACTATTTTGATGGGGCAAACAATGAAATTAAATCATAATGTTCCACCTTTTTAAATGTTTTTAAAGTCATATTTTATATACTTATATTTTGTAACTAAGACGCCTTTCCAATATTAACACATTTATTACAATCACCTAGAAAACAAATCAGCCATTACGCCAGTCTAAAGTGTCACATGATCCTTCAGAAATCATTCTAATATGCTGATTTATTATTAGAATGATCAATGTTGGCAACAAATATTTTTTTGGAAACTGCGATACTTTTTCAGGATTCTTTGATGAATAAAAAGTTAAGAACAGCATTTATTCAAAATATAAATCTTTTCTAACAATATCTAAAAAATTGTTCTGATCCCAAACTTTTGAATGGTAATGTATATATATATATATATTAGTGGATATAGTGTGTATATAATATAATATCTATATAATATTGTGTCATATTTACCGTTTGCCACGGGTGATCGTTCTCAGTGTCTGTCGATTCCCTAGAAGGATGCAAATGTGAATGCCAGATGTGATCTTGGGCTTTTATTTGAATATTACGCATTAAATCAACAACTTTGCAAGAGGTGGAGAAGAGATATATTCACTGAAGGATGGAAGTGAATGCATTTATTATCATTTGTTTTGTCAGTTTCTTTCTCTTAAAGGGACAGTTCACCCAAAACAAAATTTTGTCATCATTTATGTACTCATCCTCATTTACAGCTCTGGAAAAATTTAAGAGACAACTCCAAATTTTCTGAAATCAGCATCACGTATGGCAGCCATTCCATTTCCAGTGTCTGTTGAATTCCAACACAGACACACCTGCATAATGATTAGGTGATCACCTCAATCAAATCTTATATAATGAGGAAAAGTATATAAACCACCGCTGTGTATTCTGTGTATTTGTATTCTGTATTGTGTTGTTTCAAATTAAAATCATTGTGATAGCAATGATATAAAGTTTTGAGTGAGGAAATGAATGTTTCAGTTCTGTCTTAACTGGCACAGAGGGATACAGTGAGTGTTGGGTTGCTTCCATCCATAAAATTTCAAAGACAGAACCAGGTCAAGCTGAAGACCAGCAGAGGGTGAAAATCACTCTCAACGACCATAGGATCACATCATGTGACCTAAAAAGAATGGCAAACGGCAGCTGGGGTGAAGTGCACGGCGAGAACAGTTCGAAACAGTACAAAGCTAGAAAAAAACCTTCATCAATGAGAAGCAAAGAAGAAGAGCCAGGCTGAGCTTTGCCTAAGACCATAAGGATTGGACCGTAGAGGACTGGAGTCAGGTCACTTTCTCTGATGAGTGCAATTTTCAGCTTTGCCCAACACTTTATCGTCTAATGGTTAGACAGAGACCTGGAGAGGCCTACAGTGGTTTTGCACCCACTGTGAAATTTGGTGGAGGATCTGGGGGAGCTTCAGCAAGGCTGGAATTGGCCAAATTCATCTTTGTGAAGGGTGCATGAATCAAGACTCATTCAGGGTTGTCCTGAAAGAAAACTTGCTTCCTTCTGCTCTGACAATGTTCCCCAACTCTGAGGATTGTTTTTTCCAGCAGGACAATACTTCATGCCACACAGCCAGGTCAAGGTGTGGATGGAGGACCACCAGATCAAGACCCTGTCATGGTCAGCCCAATCTCCAGACCTGAACCCCACTGAAAACCTCTGGAATGTGATCAAGAAGAAGCCAGGCTGCTTGAATTTTTGTGCCAAGAGTGGCATAAAGTCACCTAACAGCAATGTGAAAAACTGGGGGAAAGCTGTGATTGAAAACCAGGGTCTGATTTCCGAACTCTTTCGAAGTTAAAACATTAGTATTTTGTTGTTTATATAAATTAATGTAATTAATTAATGTTTACGTAAATGAATATGAACTTGTTTTCTTTGCATTATTTGAGGTCTGAAAACATGGCATCTTTTTTTTGTCATTTTGATGCGTATTTTCTGCAAAGAAATGCACATTCCTTTTGTGTGTAAACATACTTAGCAAAAAAGCTCTTTCTGACTTCTGAAATAAAAATGTTAATTTTACTCAAAAACATACCTATCATTAGTAAAACCAGAGAAACTGATCATTTTGCAGTGGTCTGTAGTGTTTCCCTTTTGTAATTCACATATTTTCTTTCGTTATAATATCCTTTCCTAAAGTGTAAACCTGTTGAAAGGTTTACTTTTGTATTCTTTATTGTGTCGCTTTCTAATTAAAATCATTGTGATAGCAATGATCTACTGGAAAGTATTATACTTTTGCCTGTCTTTTACGTATATTTTTTTCAGATTCTCCAAAGCATTGCTAATCATGACTTCTTTCCAAAATAGCATATGAGGCCCTTTAATGATTTTGTGAAAAGCAACTTTAATGCATCCAGAAGGTTTGATTCTAGCATATAACTCATTTTTTTCTTTTTGTCTCTAGTGTAGATTTAGAATCGTTGGAGTCCAGGAAAATGTCCTCTGAACAAATTGTCGTATTATGTCACTGAACCATAATCTGCTACTTTTAGCAGTTAGATGCACGGGTATTTTCAGGAAGTATTTGATTGGACAAAATTTGTAGTGCAAGATGAGAAGTCTACGGTGGCCGAGAGAGCTCAACGCGCTGCAACTTAAGAAAACACATGCAAATTGAAAAAACACCAGCTAAAAAAATAAAAAATAAGGAATCACTAGCAGAAACTCAAAATAAAAAAAAATAAAAAAAACACTGCACAAAACAAATCCCAGCCGGTCCGCCACTTTTTTGGGTCCCCTTGAAACATTTCCGTTGTGGTTGTGCTACTTGCAGCGCGTTTCTTCATTTGCATGTGTTGTGAGGATTTGCAGCGCGTGTGTTGTCAAGCTGATGAAGATGTTTTCTTAATTTGCTGGTGTTTTTTCAATTTGCATGTGTTTTCTTAAGTTGCAGCGCGTTGAGCTCTCTCGGCCACCGTAGTAGTCAATGTTTCTGATCAATTTACTAAGTTTTAAATGAGTACATTTGCTAAAAGTAACTTTGGCCAAGTATTAGGGGTATGGAAGCATACGTGGCCTTAAACAATGTCTCAACCCCATCTGCTCCTCAAAATCTTCATAAACCTTTGGATTCAAAAAGTCTAGTATATTTTATTTTTGCAGGTTCTTCTTGGATATTGCATCTGATTCTCTACCAAGAAACTCAATGAACCATAGTTTCTTTCATTAGTGATGGCAATGTGCTCGCCCTGCACTGTCTATTATGCAGCAACCAGGAAAGAATTGGCCAATACCTGTCCTGCAACAGGTTAAACTGCTTCTAGACATACAATGGAGGTCAGGCCAGTTGCAAGGTACACAAGGACTGTATCTGATTTAGATGCAATCTTTTCCTGTAGTGTATGTGTGTGTGTGTATATATGTGTGTATATATATATATACAGTATATATACACGCACACACACACGCACAGTGCATGCATAATTATTAGGCACGTTGATGTTCTGATCATATTTTTTTTCCAAGCACATTTTACCAGTTCCTAACCACATCAATCTTAATAACTACTATTAATTTTGTATTTAATAATTTATAAGTGATATATAATTGTCCATGACAAAATCCCTATATTCAGGTGTGCATAATTATTAGGCACGTTTCGTTTACAGGTAAAATGAGCCAAAAAATAGATATAACTCAGACTGAAAAGTCAAAAATTATTCAATCCCCATGAGAAATATTCAAAACCTTGGAGTTATGATTGATGATCAGCTGACTTTCTCAGACCACATTGCTAAAACTGCCCGGTCCTGCAGATTTGCTTTATTCAACATCAAGAAGATCATGCTTCACAACTCCTTGTTCAAGCTCTTGTTCTGTCCAGGCTGGACTAACCAAAAAAAATAAAAATAATAATATATATATATATATATATAGACATATATTTGCTTGCTTTGTAGATTTCCAAAAGGCCTTTGATTCAGTTTGGCATGAAGGTCTGCTGTCAAA